GGACACAGCGCTGGGGGGGGGGATCCCAAAAACTCACTCCAATGTTAAGATGAGCCCGTGCAGCTGCTTTTTGGGGTCCGGGGCTGCAGACCTCCCTGATGCCTGCGACCAGCCCTGGTTGGGGTCATCCGTGCAATGAAAGCGATGGCTTGAGAGGTCCCGCAGAGCCCTGGGGACGGTCGCCGGTGCCGGTGACTGTCCCCGCACCCCACCGATGGCCTCCCCGGCTTCATAGAGGCACGAGCGAGGCTTTTCCAGCCTGATCTATTAACACGCCGTTAGCAGGAGGGGAGTTCATTTTTGCCATTTAACGTTTCACGGATAATTAATTATTCTTCATCTTCCCAGCAAAAAGGGAAGAGCAGGTAGAGGGGCTGTTCAAAGCAAAAAAAGCAAGCTGAAACCCGGGGAAGCTGGTGAATGATTTGTAACATCAAAGGCGAGGGAGGATGTGCTGATTTAATGGGGCACCGCACGATGCAGAGCCCTGGGCATCACAGTGAGTGATGCTGAGACCGGCACGCACTCGTTGCATTAGTGGTCCTGGGCAGCAGCGTGGATGAGGGGCCCAGGGGCGAGCCCAGCCTTTGCCTGCGCTCCCCATCTGCCTCCTCTCACCTTCCCATCACTGTTATCTGCCAGTTCTGCCTTTGCACGATGCTGGGATGTCCCCGTGACCCGGCTGGGCACCGTGGTTGGGGGGGGCTGGAAATCCCCCCCAGCCTGGCGTGGGCCTCCCGCGCTCCCCGATGCTTCATCCATCACCGGAGGTGAGTGGCAAAATAAATAATGATATTTAACATTTTGTAATAACGACAATTAACCAGTAAATAATGCCTTTTACACCAGGAAAGCCAGAGTAAATTAATTCCCCTAATTAGCTGTCAGGCAGCACGGGGCGGTGGCAGCGGCGGGGGCACACCGGCCCCTGCCTGCGTTATCCCCCCCACTGACGCATCGCCGGGTGTCCCCAAACCCCGAATAACAACCCAGAATTTTGCAGGCTTGCAAAATCCACCACTGCCGGTGAGACACAGGGCTCCGCGCCGCACCCCGGCTGCTCCGGCGAGCCCTAAATCACGCCTATCTCCCGGTAAAAAAATAACAACAACAGAAGATGGCAACAAAATAGTTTATGGCCGTAATAAATTGTGCCGGAGGAAAAAAAAAAAACTGGTTTGCCTTGAAG